GTTTTTGGTTTTGGTTTTTCTCTGGTACCGGGAACCGAACTCACGACCTTGCGCTTGCCAGGCAGGCGCTTTGCCGCTGAGCTAAATCCCCAGCCCCGGCACATATGTTTGAAACAAAGAATTGGAGTCAAGGTGCAAGCTCTTTACGAAGACCTTTGTGTCAGCAGCAGTCTTTAGAAGTTGTGTTCCCGAGTCACAGCGCCCACGGGGTTTTGGATTATCACTGAGTCAACAGCAGAGAGAGAGACACAGCTGACTAGGGCGGCAACTAACCTCACCCGTGCAATTCCTCCTCCACTGTGAGTGCTGGGGTCACAGCCCAACCTCTGCTCCTGCTGAAGGAGCTGTTAACAGAAGTCACTGCAAGCAGAAGTAGCTATTAAACCTTCAACGCCTGATGCTACATTTTAGGGAGGCTCATTACAGTGGAACATAATGAAATTTTCCCTCTTCAAATGCTTGTTTCTTGAATTTTTCTAGACACCTATGAAATGCAAAAATTAAAAAAACTGCAATCTTCGGCATAAGTGGATGAATACCAGTGACTTTTGTTTTGAGTTCATGCTTCCGAGAACTGGAAACTCCATAGCTTTTGTCCTTGGCCTTTCTTGAGTATAAAAATACCCTGGAATGATTTTTTCTGTTCCAGTCACCGTTCCCTTCATATCGCGTTTGTCCACTTCGAACACCCATTGTCTGTAATTCTTCTTTTCTTAGCTCTCCTAGTCTAGAATGAAGTTCTACTACTGACTGTTGAGGCCTTTGAAATGATAATTTTCTTTAGCCAGTAAAGGTATGTTGGGCTGAGTCAGATGTACAATTTCCGGAGCACCTTGACTAGCTGACTAAACACTGGAGCTTTAGAATACACCTCACCCAGGTGTGGGGGCGCACACCTGTAATCCCAGCACTTGGGAGGCTGAGGCAGGAGGATCATCGTGAGTTCAAGGCCAGCCTGGGCTACATAAGTAAGTTCAAGGCCAGCCAGCTCTACACAAGGAGACCCTATCTCAGATAAAAAAAAAAAAAAAGAATACACCTTACCCCAGATGTGTTAGTAATGGGGACATACAAAATATTTTTCCAACTTACTTCTACAGAACTAATTTTCATAATTTCTTCAAGTGATAGATGAACCATATATCTTCCCAAAATCCATAAGTTTTCTGCACTGACCCATGAAATAGAATCATCTAGAAAAAAACACAAATGAATAAATAAATAAAAGCATTTACACTGCGGTGTGATGATCACCAGCATCTTTGGTGTCAGGACCTTCTTACGTTCCTTGAGTCCTTCAACAACCATTTGTCGAGTGCCTACCTGTGAAACATTGTGTTACACACAGGCAGTGACCATTACCTGGAACTTGTTAGACGTGCATATTATTTTTTAGCGGCTAAATGTTAAAACTACTGCCATTTATTTTAGTTCAATTAGTTATTAAAGAATCTGGCAACGTGAAGTATGTTTGGCTCTTTTATTACTGTATCCCTTATAATCCACTGAGTAACAAACATTAGTGGATTACCGTACTCATCACAGCGTTACCGTACTGGAACAAACCAAACCACCCTTACCTCTCCATACGCACCACAAATGTCCCCCTTGGGCGTCCTGGCCACTCAAACGCCCCTCCTTACCCTGTGCCCAAGTTCTACCTTCAAGACTGAGCTCAGACTTTTCCTCTTCCTTAAGGCCTTCCCTTACCTGCTCAGCCGGAAGTAACCTCTCCCTCCTCCAAACTCCCGGAGGACTCTCTCTGTCCCTCTGTTTTGCATTTGAAATTCCCCACTAGCGACATGTCACTGGGCTTCAGGAACAGTCATGTCTAAGGTCCACCTGCAAGTTTCACTGAGTGGACGGCACTTGGGGAAAGAAAAAAGGGAGAGGAGGGCACACACCTCCAGGAGGCCGAGGCGGGAGGAGGGCAAATTAGAGCCCAGGGCAAGCAACGCAGCAGTTTAGCCAAAACATGTCTCAAAATGAAAAATAAAATGCGAGGGGGATGTAGCTCAATGTGAAGGCTCTGGGTTCAGTCCCCCGCTCCGGGGTTGGGGAGAAGAGGAGGAAGAGAAGGAGGAGGGAAGGGAGAGAAAGGAGGAGAGGAGCGGAGGCGGGGGGGAGGGGAGAGGTTACTCAGTGTGAAATTCGGATTCCGGGCGGCCGTAGTTACAGGCAGACGGAATTCTGCTCTGCACTGAAGACACTGGTTATTACGCTGTTCAATATTCCTGACACACAGACCTCAGAGTTTAACTCCAGGAAGAGGATTAACCAGCACCGCTTTCACTGGAAGACTGCTGGCCTCCTTCATGCTTCCCCAGGGCACCAAGCTGGCTGCCCTCCCAGGGCCTCGGTACTTCTCGGTCCCTCGACCTAGAACGTCCGCCCTCTGGGCCTCACAGGACTGCTTCCATCTCCTCATCTTGCTTTTCCTTCAAATGTCACCTACCTGAGATTCTTTAACACAGTGTTGGCCAACCAACAGCCCACGGGCCAAACCCAGGCCGCCGCCTGCTTTATACAGGCTGGAAGCCGAGAACAGTTTCGCTTTGTCCTGTTTTTTACTTGTGTTGGTGCATGTTTGCAGTACGGGATGATTACACTCGCCGTCAGGAGCTGGTACATGCACAGAACAATTCCAGCGTCCCGCCGCACCCCTCTCTACCCACTTTCTACGTTCCCAGCATCAGATTCCCTTATTTACCTGCTAGGACCTCATAAAGCTAATTATCATACACACAGATTGAAAACCAGACCAATAGGCCAAAGGGTCTTCACATTTTTTAACGGATGGGAGGAAAATCCAAAGAAGACTAACGTTAGGTTACCTGTGAAAATAATGTTTGTTTCAAACCTCATTGAAAAGTTTTACTGGGACCCAGCCCTGAGATCGCCCATCTATCACCCATGGCTGCTTTCAAAAAGCAAGATCAAAGACTCGAATAAAGTAAACATTTATTCAACTTTTAAATGCCCTTTACAGGAAGCATCTGCCCAGCACCATGCTAAAGCAGTAACCCTTCCTACAACACCACTCTTTTCTTCTTGTTAGGGTTTAGACATAAAAGGGCCCCCAGAGCCTCCTGTGCTTGGGAGGTGGTTGGGCGGTATGGTTAAATTTGTCTTACTGCCTTCTGTATTCTCAGCAGCTGACACAGAGTAGGCTGCTTTTAAGTGTTTAAAAGTTTATTCTGCTGGCATTACTGACATCCCATTAACAAGCTGGTATCTGAGAAACTGCCTTGTGAATCTACATCATCTACTTTCCCAGATTTTTATCTCAACTGTGATAAAATATGCATAACATAAATTTCTGCGTTTTGATATAATGTGTTCCCTTCGGTGGCATTAAATAGAGGCCTTCCTCAGGACCGACTGGGTCTTGGCTCCAGCACCCCTGCAGATGCGCAAACCCTCAGACACTCCAGTCACTTGTATAAAATGGTGTGGTGTTTGCGTGTAAGCTGCACACATCCTCCGCATGCTTCACACCATCGCTAGACTGTTCGTAACGCCTAATACAATAAAAGTGTTATCTAATAGTTGTTCCACTGTATTGTTAGGGATAATGACAAGGAATCGTCTGTACATGTTCAGTACAGATGGAACTTTTTCACCCACAGCTGGCTACATGCATAGAGCTAAATGCTAAATGTCTCTGGCGCTCAGAGACAGAGCTCACTGGCACCCACTCTGCTGCTATACACCCTCTCCGCCACCCATAGCCAGCATGTTTTGTGTCTTACAAAGCTGAAACTCTACCACCATTCCAATTTCTCTTTTTGTGAACTTGACTATGCTACGACATAGACTTTTACTACATATTTGTCAAATAGGGGCTGGGGATTTAGCTCAGTGGCATAGCACCCGCCTAGCAAATGCAAGGTCGTGAGTTCGATTCCTGGTACTGGAAAAAAACCAAAAAAAAAAAAAAAAAGTTACTACATATTTGTCAAATAAATGAATCCTGACCTATTTCGACTTTGGTTGCCAAGGAGCTCAGAGCTAAATGTCTGTGCATTACTGCCTAGATTTCCTAACTAAAGTATCTTATCTCTGTTTCTTACAGATATTGTTATACTTTTTACACAGATATTTTTATACAGATTTTAGACTTGTAACCCTATTCCAAAAGTTCTTACTGCGCCTGGCGTGGTGGCACACACCTGTAATCCCAGCACTCCAGAGGCTGAGGCAGGAGGATCACCACAAGTTCGAGACCAGCCTGGGCTACAAAGTGAGCTCAAGGCCAGCCTGAACTGCATAGCAAAAAGACAAAAAAAAAAAAAGTTCTTACCGAATCTAAGACGTCACTAAAACAGGAGGACACATCATTAACTGTAGGACAGAAACATCCCTCTCTCAGACCCTTCCATACAGGAAGCCTGTGCAGTGAAATGGACTTTCACTGAGAAGCTACAGCAGACCCTTCTGGACAGGAGGAGGACGATGGTAAGCATTACGAGAGGTGAAATCAGAGCCCTGCTTCAGAGATCAGCACGCATTTTGAGCGTGGGCTCCCCCCAAAACGTCCCCCCAACCCAGACTCACCAGTGACATTGGAGGACGTGCGCAGGGCCGCCGTCATCCAGGCGTACAGCGCTCTCTGGGCACGCGCCGAGGTTCGGTCGTAGAGGCCTTTGAAGACCGCAGATCTGCAGACCAGACATGAGCGTCCCTTAGTCACCCGCGGCGGGACCGGGAAAGACAAAGCGCAGGCCACCCCGTGCTGAGACGCCCTCCTCCGCAGACGGAGCTGCTTTGCCCGCCCCTCTTCTTTCCGTGCCCGGCCGAACGCCGGGCAAAGAGGGGTCCATGCAGACGGTCCCCACCTCCTCGCCTCTTGGTCCTGTTTTGTTTCTGTACGAAACAGCTTCGCTGAGATATAATTTTCGTAGCCCGCAATTTACCCACTTACAGCGTCCAGTTCAGCGGCTTCCAGTTTTTTCTCAAAGTTGTACAATCATCACCCTTAGCAGTGTTAGAACATTTTCAGCACTTGGAAAAGAAACGCAAGGCCCTAGGCTTTCACACCCTCATCTCTGTCTTCCCAAGTCCCGGAAGCCAGTGGTGTCCTCCCTGTTGCTAAAGACTTGCCCGTTTTGAACACTTCACACGAAAGGACTAGCACATATGCTGTCGGCCTGGCCTCCCGCACTTGGCATGATGTTTTCGTTCTTTTAGGGTTTTTTTGTTGTTGTCTTGTTTTGCTTTTGCTTTGAGGCGGGGTTTCACTATGTAGTCCAGGCTGGCCTTGAACTCACAGTGTATGCACCCAGGCTGGCCTCAAATTCATCCTTCTGCCTCAGCCTCCCACGCACTGGGATTACATGCATAGGCCGCCACTCTCGTTTGGCATGATGTTTTCAAGTCCGTGCGTGTCACAGCATGTATCGGCCCTTTTTATTCTTTTTAAGAGCCCTGGGGAAAGATGTCAATCTTAAAAAAAAATGGTCAACCTCATTGAAGGGAAAGGTTTCCCGATTGCAAAAATGCTGGCTCTATTATTTCCTACTAGTGCCACCTAACGTGATTTACCTAGTCTCCCTGTGCCCGTTTGCTTGTCTGAAAAATGGGTACAGGATTAACGGCGCTATCTTTACGAGAAGAAGAGGGGCAGCAGGGTAGAGTGGGGAGGGCACCAAACCGGGGTTCAGGAGACCTAGACTGAGCTCAGATTAAGTCCAATCCCACGAGATTAACGCCCCTGCACGCCAGCGACAGTCCAGAGCGCTCCCTTACCCCTTCTACCACCCGGGGAAAGCAGGAGGATGCTTCTGGGAGCGGGAAGCCGGCCCTCGCCCGACACCACAGCTGCCGTGCCTTGGTCCTGCGCCCTCTGCCTCCCGAGCTGTGGGGAACAGAGGTGTGCTGTTCACACGCAGTTGGTGGTATCTTTATAACAGCAGCCCAGACTGACTCGGATACGTAGGGGAGCACCCGGTCTCGCTAGGACTTAGTGACGCTCTGTTTCCACTGTATTTATTTTTATGATTACTTTTATTTTAAAAATATAGACACTGGTGTCTCATTTATTATAATGATATGAAATTTACGTGTGTGTGTGTGTGTGTGTGTGTGTGTGTCTTACTGGCAACTGAACCCAGGGCCTTCACCCCGAGTTACATGCCCAATCCCTTTTTTATTTTTTATTTTAAGGCAAGGTCTCACTAAGTCACTCAGTCGCCCAAACTGGGCTCAGACTTGCAATCCCCCTGCCTCAGCCTCCTGAAATGCTGACATTACAGCATTCATATTGCAGCATTATTGTGCGCCTCCTCACTCAGCTCAAATTTACTTTTAGAGTAAATATTTTGAAGCAAAAAAGGATGAGTCGCTAAAAAGAAAACCAGGAAGTAAATCCTGGCACAGGTGGGGGGTAGGCAGGGCAAACGCTGTGAGGGTGACCCCGGCTGCCAGAAATCTGAGGAACCCACTTTAACCAGTGTCTCGCAACTCCACCCACCATAGCCAGCGTGCCAGGCTAGACTTCCTAAAAAGGAGAAATGTCTGTTGTTTAGGAGTATTTCTATTGATTATTTTAATTTTATGAGTTTTATTATCCAATGTGTACTTAACAGAAAAATAAAATATCAATAAAGTATTAAACTTTAATATGTATTTAAGGTTTAAAATAAACATCAACACTTTCAACATCAACTGTCTCTTTATATACAAAGTCTAAAAAATAACAACAAAAATAAATTCCTATACGAACTACAATGAACATTTTTTTAAAACTCTGCAGCAAAAATGATCTTTAATTATCACTTCCAAGGCAGTCTGTGCTAAGCAATACTTTGGTACAGTACTTGCACACACGTGTGTTTTGCTGTTCTGTCTTTTTTGTGGGACATGCTTGACATCTTGCTGGTCTTGCTGTTTTGTTAGGAGGTTCTTGTGATGTTTCACCTGTCTGTTCACAGAATTCTGCTCCAGAATTCTCTTTTTTTTTTTTTTTTTTGAGACAGGGTCTCACTATGTAGTGCAGGCTGGCCTTCAACTCACTATGAGCCCAAGTTGATTTGAACTCACAGGATCCTCCTGCCTCAGCCTCCTGAGTGCTGGGATGACAGGCATGTGTGGGGTACCACACCCAGCTTCACAACCAATCTTGTCATCATGGTTTAACATTGACAGTATCAATACTACTTTGTTTTTCTTTGCCATATACAAGGTCAATGCTATGTCCTTCTGAAATCTAGATTGTACTACACATTTCTCTGTTGTAAATATGCGACATTTTTTCCAGAATTCTCCACTTTGTTCTTGAGACTCGCTCCTGTGCTGGGTCACTGGTGTTCTCTTAGCAAATGTAACATCAATAGATAACTAGTTAACCAAGCATGACATTTCAGTGACTTTTTTTCTTTCTTTTTTTCTAGTTTTGAAATAGAGGCAAGAAGTCTGTTCACAGCCTCGTGGTTTATCACCCCATGAACTAAGACCTGGTGGCTGAGTGTCACAACACATTTCTAACTCAAGCTGTAAAGTGTCTTCCCGTCTACCAGGGCACATACTTTTATACTATATTTGGAAGGTTTATTTATTGCTGAAAGCTACAACAACCATGAAGTGATGCAAGTTGCTCGTCAATTGTCAAGTATTTGAACAGTGTATAAATTGTTTGACAGCTCGAAACAAAGCTTTCAAAAAATGAGCAAACAGCAGCCAAACTGTCTGATTTTTCTTTCTTGGTGGGTCTTTTTGCTGTCAAAAAGTAGGCAATTTTGAAGGGAACCAAATCTCTTGAGTGTCTTTGTTCTAAAAATCTCAATGCCATAACCGTCACTTCTCCGTAAATCCTTTAGACTCAGATGATTAGAATGATAGAGTCCTGCTATGAAGCCTTTAGTTCACATAGGAGTGACGATAAATATATTTTGAGTACTACTGCTCATGCATAATGTTTTAATTGTATTTCATTATTAGTGTATTTTATACCCTCTTGTAGCATATCCTCTGTTATAAATAATTTCCAGCCTTGAATTGCAGTGCCGGCATTCCATCCAGGAGTTTTCACGTGTGACAAGAACCTAATAACATTCTCCAACCTAGTTCTAATGTTGGATCATTCAGGTAGACATGACCATTTTGTAGCATTTCAACCAGTCAAATATTTATTCTCATTAATGTTGTCTTCCTCATCTGAATCAAGGTCTTCGTTCTCTGCTTCTCTGTCATTTCTTGCTCCACCTCACTGTCATCACTTCCTGGGCTCACACGATCCGAGTCATCGGTAGCTGAGTCACCTGAAGACTCATTTTCCACCTCATCCCGTAGTTGTAAAAGCTGTTCGTGTGACATAGATGCTCGTGTGACATTGTACAGAGTTGTGTAACCCTACAAGAAAAATCAAAAGAAAACATTCAACAACACAAATTGTAAATGCACAGAAATGTAACACAGGGTGTAAAGTTGGAACACACTCACCTGTTCCCACTTTGACACACGTGTAAACACCTTGCCATCCATCCGCCAAGTAGGTGGATACAAAGGTGGTCTCCTGCGTTTCCCGGTGCAGCTACTGAGACACATAGCGTTATGCTGAAGTAAATATTTTCATTAGGCAAGTACGGTGTGGGTGACTGTTACTCAACATAGGCACTGAGGGTGAGCTTTTCCACAAGGTGCGTGCCAGCCTGTGCCCTGTCCTCTCTCTCTGCCACGTGTCGCCTCCTGGAACGCTCACAGCAGCACAGAGGTAAGTGGGGGGGGGAGGAGGCACTCACAGGTTCTTAAAGGCATCCACGTGCAGGTGCTGGGGCAGCCACTCGGCGACTTCCGGCTGGAGAAAGCGGGCTGAGGACCCCCTCAGGACCCTGCCCAGGATCTCCACACACTCCAGGGCACTCAGCACCTGGAAGCACCTCTCCAGCGTGACGAGAAAGAGGCTGCGGTTCACGCCAGGACTCTGCAAGGCTTGTTCCCGCATCTCCCTCAAGTCGATGACGATGTCCTTCAGGTCCTAAGGGAGGAAGAGAAGCCGGGTCACCTTGTGAGCCGCCTTTCCATTCAGAAGTCCTGGGAGGACCACGCATTCTGGGGCAGGGCTACAATTTAGCATCGCTGTTATACCATGCCCTTTCTAATCCCAGCTTTTATCATCTCTTATTTTGAGACAGGGCCTCACCAAGGGGTTAAGTTGCACAGGCTGGCGCTCTAACTTGCGATCCTCCTGCTTCAGCTTCCCAAAGTGCTGAGATGTGAAAACTTCTAGAACTTTCCATCACCTGCAGGACAAAGGTCTTCACCAGCTCCATCCACCCTAGGCACTCCTCATTCTCCAGGTGCACCATGACCATCAAACCTTAGTCTACCTGAAATTCTCACCACTCCCTCTTCTACTGAAATTCAGTTCATCCTTAAGGTTGATCTCAGCTGTCACCTCCATGGTGAAATCCCTTCTCTTCTCTGACTTCCTACTCTACAGACGCTCGTGAACCTGCCTTTCCTCCAGCCCACGGTTCTCAGCTCTGACTGCATATCAGAATCACCTGGGGAGTTTTAGAGAGTACTGATCTCCAGCACCACTATCTAAAGTTTGATTTAATGGACGGGGAGCAGAGCCCAGGCACCTGACTCCAAGGTGCATCCAAGGCTGAGCCAGGGAAGTCCTGAGCCCCAAGCCATGTGGATACTGGAGCGCTGGTTCCTAGAAGACAGTGAAAAATAGCCAGAGCAAATGAAGGATGAATCATGTGAACCACAGAACCTGGAATTCAGACAAGGTTTAGTCACAATCTGACTGATCTCTCTGTTCTTCACCTACGCACCTTCAAATAGCCACAGGCCAAATGCACATCACCTCATTTAATTCTCATGACAATCCGCTATCTCATGATCAACCCCACAGGTACTAGGGTCAGGCATTCCTAGGTTCAAATCCCAGGCCCCTCACATTTTCTGTGTGTTCTGGAGAAAATTGTTTTTAAAAGTTCTCAGCTTCCTCCTCTATAAAATGGAGATAAAGTCATTACCCGCCTCCTAGATTTGTGTAAGACTTGAACAAGACAATGCAGGTCAAATGGCACCTGGCACCTGGTAATCCTTGACTGATGTCCCATGCTGTTATTACCTCAGCATCAGAATAAGCACCAGCTCAGACATGCCCAGAGCTGAGATCTTAAATAGGTATTTGAACTCAGACCCATGATTTAAACCTGACCAAGTGTTTTCTAACTTCATCATCAGCTGTTGGTGGGTGAACAGTGGTTAAGACTTGTCAGGCCTCTCAGGGGGCCTGAGGGAGGTTTTCGAGGGTGAGGTTCCCAGGGTAAAGAACGCACATGTGCAGGACATCAGCAGCAACAGCAGGCAGTGTGGAGCAGAGCAGAGAGCAAGAGCACGGGAGCCACCTGTGTGGCTTTATTGTGCAATTCTTATACAGCTTGTCATCTCATGTTTACATTCCTACAGAGTGCAGTAACCAGCGCATGCGTGTTTATCTGTGCTTAGTCATGGTTACACAACTGTATCCCAGTGTGCACCTGCGCTAGACAAGCGGGATCACGTCCTCAGGGGTCCTTAGATGCCCCTGAGCTTTGAAGCAGTCACTGTGGTTCCCCACAATACTACACTTAGAGGTTCTTAAACAGGGGCCTGTGGCTAGAACTTAGGGCATCTGTGACGATTGGAAGAAAATTGCACAGTGATTTTCCCTAAAATAGAGCTGACATGTAGCATTTCCTTCAGGGATAAAGGTCAGCAACAAGGCACCATGGTGGTAGTGTGAACTTTGACTCTGTCATCAGCCAAAATCACCGTCACTTTCATAATGCATTGCAGTTATTGCAGAGATCTTGCAATCTCGTTTACTCAATATTTCCCCAAAATGACAGAAGTTACTAGATGTGCTGCTAAATTGTCTCTTTAATGAGCTAAAGAGGCCCATAAATTACTCTCCCTAAATGTGTTTGTTTTAAGTATTTTGATAAATGTTTTTCAATATAATTGACTTCCTGTGTAATCTTTTGTATTTTAATGAATAGATTTTTATTTTTTTTTTTTTAATTTTTTTTTTTTTTTGGTTTTTCTCCGGTACCGGGAACCGAACTCACGACCTTGTGCTTGCCAGGCAGGCGCTTTGCTGCTGAGCTAAATTCCCAGCCCCAATGAATAGATTTTTAAAACATGATTTGGCTGGGCATGGTGGTGCACGTCTGTAATACTGGCACTCAGGAGGCTGAGGCAGGAGGATCACTGTGAGTTCGAGGCCAGCTTGGGCTACACAGTGAGTAAGGCCAGCTGAATTGTATTTAAAAAAAGACAAAAAGCTGTCTCAGAAAAACCACAAAAAATAAAATAAAACAAAACTTCTTCTGAAGAAGGGGCTCACAGGCTTTCCAGGTGCCCCAGGGCTCACAGCTAGAGTCCGAAGCCCCGTTTCCACCCTCAGATTTGTTAGTCCCAAGATGCGTCACCCAAAGTTACTCGACCAGCCTCTCCAAGCCTCAGTTTTCCCATTTGAATACTGAAACAGTGGGATTTTTATTCCTCTTCTTTCTAAGGGTTCTGAAGAAGAGTCAATGAGTCTCTGCATATTAAGCCCTTGGAACAATGGTCAGCAAGCTACTTGTCCCCAGGTCAAAATTAGCCCACCACCTGCTTTCGTAAATAAAGTTTTATTGGAACACATCCATACCCACTCATCTATAGCCTAGGATCCAGGTTTCATGCTACAGTGCAGAGCTGAGAGTGACAGAGATTGAATGACCTACAAAGCCTTAAATATTCACTACCTGGCCCGTTAAAGAAAGTTTGCTGGTCATTCCATTAAGAGTACTACCTCACACACAGAAAACCTGCAACAGACTCTAATATCACTCTGATAGCCCATGTGCCCAGTTTTGCCATATTTTTGCACTGCCTTTACTATGATGTGCTTCATAATTTCCTTCAAGATAAGTCCTTCTTACAAAGCTTAATTCACTGAAAAAGCAAATATTACATCCTTGCCAAACTGGTTTGATGTATACTTTATATTTTAATACCAGACATTAAAGTAAGTGTATGACTAGGGGCTGGGAATGTAGCTCAATGATGGAGAGTCTGCCTAGCATGCATAAGGCCCTGGATTTGATCCCAAGCACTGCAATCAAGCAATCATTATCAAAATGTTTAAATGGTTCATTTCCTTTTGGAAAACATTGCTCCCTATTAAACTGTCTGCGATAAAGAAAACTCTCAGCCTTATCATTTGGGTAACAGTCTGAGTCTCAGAGGCCTTGCTCTGTGGCGATGTCCCATCACTCAGCTTATTTTGTGGAAATGATCTATTTCTGCTTTTTGTCTGCACTCCACACTGTAAGCACCTTGAGAGTTGGGGGAGACTTTCATGTCTATCTACTGGGGCAAGTAATTTTTCATGGCTGTTTATTAAACAAAACTATTAGGCTGGTTTACTGGTGCATGCACAGGTGTAATCCCAGCACTCAGGAGGCTGAGGCAGGAGGATTGCTGTGAGTTTGAGGGGAGCCTGAGCTGCAAAGTGAGTTCAAAGCCAGCCTGAACTGCATATTGAGACCCTGTCTCAAAAAGACAAAAATAAATAAATATTCTTAGATCCTTATGCTCCCCTCATGTCCTAGAACCCACAAGAACACAAATTATAAGGCTCTTAATTTGAACTGTGGAGAAAGGGAGGAAGAAAATCCAGGTCCTAAAGCTCCTGGTGGGTTGAAGGAAGAAGAAAGTGAGAGACAGAAATAAAAGGCCAGGGACTGCTCAGCTCAATTTGATTCAATTCAGCAAGCACGGGGGCCAGGGCTGTAGCTCAGGGCACAAGCACCTGTCTGGCAAACATGAGGTCCTGAGTTCGATTCGCAGTACCAAAAAAAAGAAAAAAGCACCATCTGGCCCTGGCTTCTCTATTTCTAAGTGCCAGGAACTCCTCACCAAGTGGTCCTGCTTGTCTTCTAAGAGGCACTTCAGGGCAGTGCGGAACTGCTGAGCGTCGGTTTTCCTGAGGTCCACCAGTAGCTGCTGGGGCTGGTACAGTCGCTGCTGCAGATGATTCTCCATGGCTGCCTGGATGTGAGGGGAGGGAGGGAAGAGTCGGTGAGGACGGAAGGACTGAGCGATTGGTCAGCACCATGGCCAGCAGCCTGGCTTGTCTCCCTCTAACTCCCCACGGCGTCCACACACCGGCAGGCTGCAGAAGGGTTTGGCTTGGTCAGATCCAAAACTTTGAAATAGCTGCACACGTTGTCAGCAACCTCTTCCAAAAATCCAAATTTCCAACTTCAGTTTGAAAATACAAAGATCAGGCAACACTAGGCACGCGTCCCCTTTCTGGTGACCACCAATGGGCCAGGAGGCAGCTCCTTGCTCAGCCCGGACTCAGCCAGCCTGACTTCCCCACTCCAGGGCCTGCTTGGTCCGCTCAGGTTGAGGGTGGTCGCACACCAGGAAACTGAGCACCTCCGGTGTGCTGCTGTTCTAACCCAAGCTATCAGCCGAAGAGCAAACTTCATGTAGAACGAAAAAGCTGTCCCCGGTGTTGCCTCCAGGGCAAGGAGAGAGACCACCAGCATCTATAAGAGATTTCCCCTGTGTCTGGGGAATTCTTTTCTAAATCTTCCCTAAACAGAAGTGCTCTAGGAAGACAGTATTTGTAGGCAAGAGGTAGTTACTAAAGCCGGACAACACATGCAAATTTCCCCCTTGACACTTCCTCGCTGTGCGGCTTTGGATACGCCACTTAATTAGGATTGAGAAGTAAAATGCAACACGCTCCATTCAATTTCAATTTCACATAAATATCAAACCATATTTTAGTATAAGTATGTCCCAAAAGTTGCATGGGCTATACTTAAAATTTTAAAGTATTAATTTTTTATTTGAAATTCTAATTGAACTGGACATCCTGTATTTTTAGTTGGTAAATCAGCAACATTACCTCTTGGCTTCATTTCTCTCATTGGGAAAATAAAGATCACGGTAAGACTTACCGTGCAGGGTTGTCGTGAGGTTTAAGTGTGTAAAATGTGTGCCTGGCACACGATAAGCACTCAACAATCATCGCAGCCTACTGTCTGTAATCTGAATGAGTAGAATGCTGATTTAGTTAGCGTTCCTCCCCTTAGAATAAAGGTCCCACATAGAGAGTAACGTGACTATTTTGTTCTTCTCTGAGCTCCCAGTGTCAAGAACTGCAGCTGGCAGAAAGCAGATGCCAAGGAAGTAGACTTTGAAGAAATGGGCACGTGCATAGGAAGAGAAGTAGTATATGCTGCTATGACTTGGATCAAAAATGTCCTCAAAAAGGCTTACATGTTCACAGGTGGGACTTTCGGTAGGTGAGTGGATCATGGGGCTCTAACCTCTCCAGTGGATTAAAGGATTAGTCCAGGGGTGAGTCTGTAGCTGAATGGGCTGTTAGGAGGTGAAGCATAATTGGAAGGTGTAGATCACTAGGGGTGTGCCTTTGAAAGGTATGTCTTTACTCTGGTTCTCATCATTCTGTCTGTCTGCCTGTCTCTCTCTCTCTCTCTCTCTCTCTCTCTCCCTCCTTTCTGGCTGACATGAGGTGAGCAGATTTCCTCCGCCACGCCCTTCTGCCATGATGTTTATGCCTCACCACAGGCCCAAAAGCACAACAAGCGGTGGAACCAGCTGAGAGTGCACTGAAGCCTCCGAGACCACGAGCCGAAATAATCACAACTTCTTTTAGCTGCTTTTTCCTACGTGTTTTTGTCATGGCAATGGAAAGCTGGTTAACATATACACCTACCAATCAGGACAAAATAGACGCATCTCATGAGAAACATGACCGGCTGAGAAAGCGGCAAATGTTAATTTTCTTTGGGTTGCTGTGACTGATAAAAACAGACACTGGCAACCCATTTGGGACCCCCCAGTCTCTCAGGAGCTATTGCTATTCCCCATTCCTTTTCCCCAATAAATTTTCCTACTCTTAACCTCTGTGGTCACTTAGAATTCATTCTTTGACTCTGAGGAACACAAACTGGGCATATCTGACATCTAGCATTTCTCCTATACCATCTTGGAGGTCCCACCAAGATATTCAGAAGGAGTTTGGAGACTAAAACTGGAAAGATAACTGGCCTAGAAGACAGCCGATATTTTGACCCGCATCCTCTCAGATCAACAATGACCCAGGACATGAGGGAACCTTTTCTACAGGAGCCTACAACTTTGAGGCTGCCAAATTCCACGTGATCATGCAGATGGAAACAATGACAAATGTGACAGACTCCTTTTACAGGGATCCACTAGATCAACCTTGTAAAGAGAGCTCATAACTGCTAAACTGCAGCATGATTTCTAGCCAAGGCCCATGATATTAGCTCTCTGGAAAAAGGCCCTGACTGCAGTCTCCCCTATACCAACCCTTCTCAGCTCAAGCAGCTGGGTGGAAATTACATCCCTTCTCCCCTAACTGCAGTTAGGGATACCTCTTCGGAGGGGAGAGTACTATAGACGGCTAAGTTAGATGGAAATATAGGAAGCAGCCAGACAGGCCTGGGCAGTCCAGGAAGTCAGTGCAGGGGAGGAGAATGCTTTAACACTGTGGCTGGAGGTCCATCTGAAGAAGATTAAAGTCACAACAGCCAGGTTTACATCCTTCTCAAGGACTAAACAAAGCTTGAGATTATTGGTGCCACCCTTTTGAGATCTACTCTATAAGTAAACCATTATCTCACTGGAGGTGGGGTGGGCCATCCCCTCCCAGTCACTAAGATGAAAAATAAGACTATAGATTATTGGCCAAGGTTAATGATGTCACCCATATACCTTTGCTACCATTGGATCAATATTACCTCAGCAACTATATTTGCAATCTGATTGATTAACCATAATTTTGACCCACATTATACCTACCTCCTGATTTTGCTCTATAAAACTTCCTTTGAGAAGCAGGCTCACTGGCAACCCATTCGAGACCCCTCCTGTCTCTCAGGATCTATTGTTATTCCCCATTCCTATCACCCCTTCTTTTTTCCCCATAAATTTTCCTACAAAAAAACAAACAAACAAACAGAAGCCATGTGGGGTCAACAGCCAATTCCAACTAATGGGCAGAGCAATCAGCTCTCTGGCTATAGCTATAACACGAACATTGATTGATATTTTTGTTCTTGTTAAAATGTAAGTAAAAATGGAAACAATAAAGACATATATTGAGAACTTATTTATTGGCCAAACATGTGACTGGCTTCTTTACTGACCAGATAATAGTTTTTAGATGCTATTTCCTCAGTTGTGTGTGCTATTTATGGTGTAATGGTAAAGATGCAACATACTACAGGGGGTTAATAGTTATGCCAAACTGCCCTTCACCACGCTCCTCGAGGAAATATCCACTGTACCTATCAACATTATTATGCTCGTTATTTTCTTTATAGCAAAGTTAAATGGGAAGAATAATATTTCCTGGATCCATGATTGAAAGGTCGATAATTATATGTAAATATTCACTCCCCTTGCTGTGGTTTGAATGTTTTCTGCCCCGCAAAGCTGCATGCGTTGGAAGGGTTGTCCCACATGTGGCAGTGGTTAGAGGTGATGAACCCTCTGAGAGGTAGAGCCTGGTGGAGGTCATTGGATCGTCGCCCTTGGAAGGAACTGATGTAGTTCTTGTGGAAGCTGGGTAGCTCTCGTGAGAGGTCTGAAGTTGACCTCTGTGCTGTGCTTTTGCTTCCTGTCCTGCCATGTGACCTCTCCCTCTCAGGCACACCTACCACCGAGAGGTCAGCACCATGCGCTGGCACTGCCAAGGGAGCCCTTGGTGACATGAACGACTTCTCACCACTGTGCTGCTTAGACTGTCAGCTTCTGAAACTGTAAGCTGAATAAACCTCTCTTCTCTATAAACTACCCACCCCGAGATGTTTTCTTATAGTAATGGAAAACTGACAAGTACATTTCTTTGTTCTTTTCATCTATAGAATTCCTCAAGTCTCGACTAAGTGTATGGCTTCTTTGCAGTAAGATGTGACTCTGAGTAAAAGTTTCTCTTTTATGAAAAGCCAATGCAATGTGAACAGAAGGAATTTAGTAACTTGCAGGCTACATCCTGAGAGGAAAAGGTGCTCATGCTCCACTTCCTCTTCCCACCCTCCCTCTTCTGGCTTGTAGGGCAGATGTGTCATTCCCACCAGGGGGTAACAACTTCCTACAGGATGACAGAGCAAAAGAGGCAAAAGGGACTCTGGCTCCTGGGCAGTCTCCTTTTCTGGGTCTCCCACTTAGCTCTGCATGGTGTAGGAGAAAGAAATAAACTAAACTCCAGATTACAGCAGCTCTGGAGTCTCTTGGTTACAGCAGATTGGCCTGTACCCTAATATACCATGTCTCCATCAAAAGTAAGAAAGTGAGAGACAGAAGAGCTTGTACCATTCTTTCAAGAAAAACTGGACAGAATATTCTTCTTTGTGGAAGTAAAGACTCTCTTTCTGCACCTGGCACGCTTCTTGCACTCTCCTGACCCCCGGATTTGCAATCCATGAGCACCGGCAGTAGAAAGTACAGATGGTTCCCCAGTACACACCTGCAGGCTGGGAAGGGTGAAGGCAACATTCCGGGAACCCAGGTAGTCCAGGACTTGGTAGGACAGGTCAGCTGTCCACCCATGGGCCCTTCAGAGAAACACAGATGGGAGAAAGTTATGATGACAACTTCCCCTGCAAGTAGCACTACACTAGCTGTGGGCCCCGGGGACAGCCATTCTGAGAAGACAGCAGAAGTGGCCTAGATGTTAGGAACTTTGCACTTGGAATTAGAAGCCATATTAACCTAGCACGGTGGTTGGGGCAGTTTCCAGTTTGGGAATCTGCCTAACTCCCATTGTCTCAAAATTATTATCAACTTCTGAGCTGTACACAGTATTATGACTCCCATACAATCCAGGTGGACTGACTACAGTTGAACAAATTGGAATAGAATCCAAATAGAGTGTTCCCTACAGTAAGTGTAAAATAGAGCCCTCCCTACAGTAAGTGTAAAATAGAGCCCTCCCTACAGTATGTGTAAAATAGAGCCCTCCCTACAGTATGTGTAAAATAGAGCCCTCCCTACAGTA